AATAATGGTTATGTCCTTTCATATACAAAAAGCTATATCTTTGTGTTTAGACCTAAAATTACACCATCGATCCGAGTAATTGAGATCGTTAAATGAGCATAATTTTAAACCGTTGAATGACAAAGAGGTTGAAATGATTTTCAATTATTAATGAAAAATAATATTATGATTTTAATTATGATATTATCTCTTAATATATATATTAGGATATCTCAACCTAATATTAGGTATATCCAATTGGTTGTTTTGAAAAGAGATTATATGATCCGTCTTCAAAGGATTGCACGAAGACATTCGAATGGGCTCATCGTATCAAAGCCCCAGGTGCATGAAATCTTCTACGTGGCTAATTATTATCAAAACCAAGTCTTATCCCTTCAAATCCTATCTCTTGTATTGAAGTGGGTGGTACAATTCAAATTGGTTTGGAATTCATGGACGTGTTGGAGTGAATGGGGTTGTGGCACGTGACTTTATCTTGAGATATGGTGATTATATTTCATCAATTACAGTTAATTTTCAGAGTTTAATTTGGTGAAGGAACCACCATGCTTGTACATGGTCTTCGTCATGGGAAATGTGCATGATGGATTCAATTGGTGAAGTGATTTGATCGAATGATGATGATGAGATTGTTGGAAAATAATAGATTTTGGATTTGGGCTCAGCCCTTTATAATTAGGTTTTGTTAGAGATTAGGGTTAGTTTATTATAAATAAAGTGCTTTGTTATTCATTAAAGAATAAGTTAGTCACGATATAACCTCTTATGATTTTTGCAGCTGTTCAGACATTCTCATTTGTTTAATAATATTCTTATTATTTTGTACTCTTGTTTGTTTCGCACTTTAATATTCAATTTGATATTAGTGCAAGTTCAATCCTTCGGGATTTGATCTACTTTGGTTGTTATCAGTTTCATCTAGTATGTTGCTTCTGTCATGTTGTTGTCGTCATTGGGTTTAGTTTAATATTAGAAAAGAAAAAAAATTGATGAAGCGTTGTCGTGCTTCGCCGTTTCCCGCATCAGATCACCACCAAGTCGCGCCTGCAAGCACGCCGTCACAACACCATCCACTATTGCTAAATCATCACCGTTGCACTACTGACCCGTAGTCATTCCTGCTTGATCACCCTGCACTTGCTCGCACCCACAAGCCACCACTAACCTAGGAATCCAATGAATCCACCACATTTGCACTGCCTCCTGGACTCACTGCCGCACAAAACCAAGAAACATGCTGCTGTTACTACACTCGCATCAACCCCACACCATGCCGCCAGCAACCTGAAGAATATTGAACCCGTAGGTTACCCCCGCTGATTCGCACCATCGTTCGAACTGCCGCCAGCCTGAACCACATCTCCACGATCTCGCATCATACCACCATAGTCTAGCGTCTGCCTGAAGTTCCCAGTACCTGACCTGATTGTCGGTACGACCCATGCTAGTACAAGACCATCGTTGCTTCACCATATCTGACTATGTTAGGGTTTGACAGCTCTAGAACTTAATAAGTTGGGCCATTGTTTGTCTATTGGGCTACTTTGTTGGATTGGACCGATAAAATGGGCTAAGTAGATAAGGGTGCCTATATTGGGTTGTTAGATTTTTTGTATGAAGTATTCGATTTGTTTGAAGTATGATGTTGCCTGCTTGGTAATCACTCAAGTGCTTGGATTAGTGACTACCCGAGTGATTATTGTCGAAGTTTCTGTTTTCTTGTTTGTTGTCGTTGGGTTATAGGAATCTCATCGTTAAGTGACGGGCTCCATACTTCCAACATATGTTTACTGAAATCTATATTTGTTAGCATTAGTGGCTGTCCACTTGTAGCGGATCTTGTTTGCATACCTACCTGTCTGCTTGTAGAAGAGCTTGTCTGTCTGTCCGTGTAGCGAAGCCTGCCTGTTTATTTGTCACCATTGCGAAGCCTGCTTGTCTGTCCTCGTTGCCGAGCCTGCCTGTCTGTCTGACTAACAAAACGTGCATCCACATCTACTTGTTGGCAAACTCATGTTGTTTACCGCTATGAGTTTGATGGAGGGTGTTGGAAAATAATAGATTTAGGATTTGGGCTTAGCCCATTAGAATTAGGTTTAGTTAAAGTTTAGGGTTATTTTATTATAAATAGAGTGTTTTGTTATTCATTAGAGAATAAGTTAGTCACAATGTAGCCTCTTAGGGTTTTTGTAGCCGTTCCAGCATTCTCGTTTATTTAATAATATTCTTATTATTTTGTAGTCTTGTTTGTTCCGCACTCTGATATTCAACTGAGATAAGAAACCTAGGTAAGCTAGGCTTTTGGTCATGATGGGATAAGCCTAGATAGGTTTTTATTTTGATTGAAAAGTCAGCCATCTGGAAGATAGGCTTTAGTCTATGCCACAAATTAGTCTTTCATTTTATGAGTCTGAGTTTCAATTGGTTTCTACGAAATTATCAGGCTGTGCTAAGCAAAATATATAGATGCTATAAATACAGAGTCATAGGCAACATTGAAACCCCCTCCAATTCAACAACTTGAGATTTTATCCTTCTTCCCTTTCTTCTTGCCAACACATCTTCAGTTTGGATAAACAACACTGTGAAGGCAACCAGCGACATCTTCAGTTTGGATAAACAACACTGGAAGCACTGCTTCGAGACCGGTTGGTTATTTATCCAAGTCTCGATCGATAAGGATTTTCGAGTCCTATTTGGTATAGGTCATCTCATCAGTCTTCTCGGCAAAGTGAGGTGTTACAGGTTACTAGGCTTAGCACGTTAAGCGCTGAGTTGTTTTATGATTGGATATTCACAAGTACACTTTAGAGTTCGAATTTTCGACGACCGAACCACATTTACCATCAAGACATACATCTCTTTCTAGTATTTGTGTCCATATAGTCTTGTGCCAGTTCGACATGTTTATACTCTCACGAATATAATCACTGTGACCGAACTCGACGCCGATGATTTGTGAACTTCACATAACTAGCAACCTTGTCTTCAGGCTCTAGAACCCAAAAGCCGAGACTTTTTCCTTCCTCGACTGCAGTCACAAGATCAAGAAGTCAGCAGCGCGCTCAACACGACATCATCATGTTTTACTCCCCGACCAAGCTTGATCGTCGAGTTGGCATGCCCCTCACATAACCAAAGGACGTAGTTAACTCATTAGTTACTCGGCCTGCGCGCCTCGTAAACTTGGTAGTTTTTAAAGTCAACACGTTGATAACAATTTCAACTTTTTAATTATAAGATCGCATTTACGTACACGTTTTGGCTCACAATGGTCCCCCTCGTACGGAAGTTTTTAAGTTTGTAAGTGTGGTATCTCGTCAATGTCACATAAAATTCATAGAAGAAACCAAAAAAAACAAGGAATGAAGTTTTGGGTGAAAAGGGAGGAAGAACTGTCACATATTCAGAGAGACGACTCATTGATCCACTTTTAATCATACCGATAATATCAAAATTTAACCACCTACTACTAAGTGTTGAGTTTTATCATAAAAGATCTATATATATTAGAAGTGAAACTATACACATTATATTGTATTTTATTTTCTTAGTTTTCCGACGTGGAACTTATATTCAACAAGAACGAGTATATTGATACCCTCCAATACAACCAGTTTGTATATATAGTCAATTATTCTTTCTGGAAAATAAAGTTAAATTTCAAATAAACTCTCTTCAACCAAGTCACCATCTTTTAGATTGGAATATTTTATTATTGGGGGTGTTATCAGCATATATACAATCTCCATTTTCTACTCTTGTCGCATTTGCAGACACTTGGAAACTTTTCATTCACAGAGCCTAAGATATATCATATATTATCTTAGATTCTACAATTGTATGAGCAAGAAGAAAACCCTAATTTATATCTCAGGACAAGAGAACCCCAGTGGTTGGGGTAAATTTTAAACCCGTATTTCGCATAGCTGATTTTGGATTCGATTCCTGATGTTGGTAAACCACACGATAGTATTTATGAGAAGGTGAAATGTGTCTATGAGTTTTTCCGGCCTCCAAAAGGGTCAACTGATGTGGCTTTGCCACTAATTGATCCTTTAAAAATATAAAAATAAAATTTATACCTCATTTCTTGTTTGATTTATGAACTCTTGGATTCATGACTATATTACTTTATCTTGAGATAAATGAATCTCTCTTGCAACAAAAATAAAAATAAAGTAACAAATAATCATATTCATATCTTATGCAACGTATAAACGTGTGGTGAGTAAGTTGGATCTAATATCATGTTAATTAGATCAGGTCATTAGAGTAAACGAAAAATTATTTGATAGCGTATGAAAAGACTAGAGATCGCATCAACTTTTACGTGAGAAGCTTTACTTTTCTAACGTGGGATTCATTTCACAACATGAAAACCGTTGCATCACTTCCCGAACAAAAACTAGGGGTGTTTTTTTTTTTTTAAAAAAAAAAGAAAAAAGAAAAAAGAGAAACAAGTGATGGCGAACCACGGTTATCCATCCCTTCCGAACCTGAAGAAGGCTAGTTGAAAATTGCACTCTACTTGTGACCACAATTAAGCAGATTCACAACTTACAAGACATTTTAATCCTATACCTCCCGTTTTTTCCTTTAGGCAATGTGTCCGCACCTTTCCATTCAGTCACTTCTTGTGGTTAAACAACTAGGGGTGCTTGTCTGCCCACAAAAACGTAGCCAACCCGCATCTAAATGTAAAGCTTTAGTTTTGTGAGATTCATATTCTCAACGGTAAAATTGTTGCATCACATCCGACACGAAAACTGAATCAATTAGGGGTGCTCGTCGGTTCAAAAAATCTAGCCAATCCACATTTGATCGATCCAAGATAGATCGGATTGTGGATTTTCAATCCAAACCAATCCAATCCATTTCATATAATTGGATTGGTTTGGATTGGCCGTCGAGTTTTAATAGTGGAAAATATATTTCATCAAATGTGAAACAACTGTAGTAAAGTCTAATTCAACCGCAAGTTTTATGAATTGGAATGAAAACATAATAAGCAGTTAAATAAACAACACCAAACCTCATGTAACACCAAATATAAACAAGGAGTGTAAATAATTTTTTTCGTACGCTGATAAGTAAATACGCTTTATTCTTCATATCTTTATCCTGATGGGGGTTCCGCACGTGTAGGTAACGGTGCAAGTTTCTCCGATAACCACGGAGTACACATGAGCAGGCCTAACGAGGAAGTTAGGCAGGTGAACCAGCAGCTCACACACACATTGATTATCCAGCTGGGTTAACCACCTACAACAATTATCTTCTGCAGGTATGGATTCATGCACATGATGCCTGTGCCTATGATGGACATGTCTATGCCTGTGATTATGTCCGTGTCCATGGCCATGGCCATGGTCATGTTGCTCTTCCTGTCCATCATCATTGGGAGAAGGGGGAGGAGGGGAGGGGGGTGTTGGAGGGGGCATCGGAGCAAAGGGGAGTATCGAGCAAGCATAGTTAGCAAGGGCAAACTGTGATGCACAGAAAGGGCGGACAGGTGGGAATAGAAGCTGCGACTCCATCTTCGGCAGGAAGAGTAGGGAAGCTGCAAACAAGGTTAAAGTAAGAATCTTGACTCTCCCCATGACCATTTCAGCTACCTTCTTCTTCTGCTATCACATGTGATGTGAAAGAGAAGAAATATGGATGGGTTTTAGGTGTTTCTGCTAATCCGTCTATTTATACACTGTCGTGGTTTCGTAAGGTTCTTGTTTTCTTAGTTGTTAGGCTCTCTTTGTGGGTAATAATTATAACAATTATACTAATTAAAAAAGTAATGGAGATTACCAAGGGAATGAGCTTCAGGTTCTGAATGGTTTACTGATTCCCATTCATTTGGTGTGAAGACTCTGTTTGTGTTAGGTGACGTGCAAACTCTCCCAAATGGTGTTTCCACAACCGACCTTGCTCCTACCAAACTGCAAGAACAGAAATTACATTATTTGGAAATTGTTAAAGATTTATCTTTTAGTCGTAATTCAATCTGATGTTTGCCCTGTCATTGCTCCAACCTTTCTACCATTGCCAAGACAATCTGACGTGTCATTGCCCTGTAAATTTAGCAGACATCAGTAATATAAACACTACCATCCTATTTGATCACAACATAGAGATCATGAAATATGTAAGAATCCAATACAAGGCCATCATGCCCCCGGTTTGCAGAATCATTTCAAAGAAATGAAACGGTTTCAGCCAAAGCTCAAATTGAACCTCCAGTTCATTACGGAAGGCCATCCAAAAGCAATGCAGAATAGGAAAGCTCATAAGTATATCAATTCAATTACGATTGGTAAACGGAGTAGCATTCATTTGAAACGGGGTATAAACTAACCGATGCTCTGAACAGAAGCAAATTCATCATAACCATTTTCAGTGGATATTCCCTTTAAAAGTTACTTGTCAGAAGGTGTTCATTGTCTAAGAAATCAATCACCAGCATTAATACACCGATACTATAGTTGCACTTTGACTGCACAATAATAAGGTCACCTTTTGCTAAAATTGTGTCATATTGTGAATACGATAAGTTGGGACGGAACTGAATGTGAGAAACACATTAAGCATGAGTCCAACTGTCCATGAAAGTCACATAATTATCACCATCGTTTTTATGTTATATCAATCATGCACTTTACGAGCAAGCATCACAAATTGTCATAGTGACAGTCACATAGGCGAACTTCAAAAATGGGGATGCTAAAAAGATGAATATTTTCACCGTTAACTATCACCGTTTTATAATTTATCAATTACACAAATCACCAACAAGCATCACAACGGTCTTAGGATTCCATATATAATTTCAATTTCATGAATTGTTGTAAAGTCCAATAAAAAGAAACACGAATACAATATGGAACCAAAAAAACTAGTTTCATCCTCCATTAAAGATATTCAGGTACACCAAGAATCGCTACAAAATTGAGATGAATGTGGTGGATTACAAATTCAATAATCCCACACAACCAAGATCATCCGATACTTTCAACACTATTTGCAGCTCAACATCAATACATATTATTTATTAAGAATCATTACCTGTCATCACTTCCTTGTCCTTCTCAACCTCTTCCCTTTGCAACCGCAACTGCTCTCGTCTCTCCCTCCATCCCTCCTCCAATAGCTCTGTAAACTTGTCCTTTATCTCTAGCAATGGATCCCGGTCAATCAACTGATCATCCTTGTACGCTTCCCTCAGCACCGCCGTCTTAATCCCTCCCTTCAATGACAGATAGAATATCCCCGCATGCCTTGTGAACACATTCGAGAATGCATTCGAAAATCTATACTCGTCACTAAATTTCCCCAATATCGGCACAGGAATCCTCTTAAATAAAGACAATGACAACAACTCATGAAAAACTCCAACCGTCCTCTTCTCCATTTCCCGCGAAGCTTGATCCAATTTTGATACATCCTCATACGGAGAAATGTAATCCATTTCCACCCAATCCCTGACCCACTCCCTCATTTCCTTCTTCAAGAAAAATCCTGAAGGCAGCCTATAGTTAAAATTAGGCCGAACCCGAATCCCTGTCAAATTCGATTCCTCTTCTGCCCTCCTCTCAATCACTGATTTCGCAAACTCGGGGTTCCACGAAACCAATTCCAGATAACAATTCTCCTCTCCGGGGCACCCAAGTATCCGAAAATACTGCGGATACCTGGGCACCAAGCTAACCAAGAAATCGTTCGGAAACCCGAATTCCCTCTTCACATGAACCAATTTATCAACACTAACAACCCTATCCTTACACATCATCAGCAATTTACACAATTTCGACACAATCAACGGCTCATTTTCCTTAAAAATCCTCTCCTCCTCCTCGAGAAACATCCTTAACCTATCGCTAAATCGAAGAAACTGAACCGGTTCCGATTTGGGTTTAATCCTATCATAGTAAACATCGAACAAACCTGGGTTTCTGCTAAGAAAGGTCTTGACTTTGATGTTGAGCCGCAGCCTCTCGCGCCGTTTTTCGAGGTACCGGAGGGGGATTACCCGACCCGGTTCGTTGAGGACCTCCTTGACGACGCGGGCGCAGAGCTTGTAGGGCTTGTCGTTTTCGATTGCCTGGTCGAGCTTCCGGTCCTTGCGCCATACGACTTTGAGGCTCGAGATTGATCGCGATTGGAGGTGGGTTGCTGGGTGGGTGCTGGGTGTGAGAGTGGGTTTGCGGGTGTGCAGATAGGAAGAGATTGTTCGGGTTTTGGAGAGCATAGCTGCAATCGGACACCGAGCTGACTCAGCCACCGGACACAGTGAGAGAGGGAGGAGCAAATTTCAGGGTTTTTGTAGCAATGACAAGAGATGAGCGCGGGGCATTTCCGTCCGCGTGTCAAAAATGTAATAATGCAAACATAGCAGGGGTAAAGCAGAAACCACACTGTGCTATGACCAGTCGCGCTTACAGCAGCAAGTCAAAGACCGATAGTCCGATTCGATTCGGACTCTCTGACTCCCTCCCGATGCCGCTTCCGCCGATCGCCCTAGCAACCTAATCTAGCCGCCGAATACGACGGCGAAAATGATGTCGTGGAACGGCGCCAGGGACCTGGTGATGACTTTGGACGACATCCCGTTCGGGACGGGGTCGTGGTATCTCTACGCCGGCGTCTCGTGCCTGCTCGTCCTCTTCGCCGGGATCATGTCCGGCCTCACCTTGGGATTGATGTCGCTCAACCTCGTCGACCTCGAAATCCTCCAGCGCAGCGGTAGCTCCACCGAGAAGAAGCAAGCCGGTCGGTTTTTTGGAAAATTTAGATTGGATTAACGAATTGGTGTTTAATTATACTTAATTGAGCTTAATTATGTGATTAGTTTTGGTGGTTTGATGTTGATCCGTCACTGTACGCAGCTAAGATACTGCCCGTTGTGCAAAAGCAGCACCAGCTTCTGGTCACTCTGCTTCTCTGCAATGCTTGTGCTATGGAGGTACTTTAATAGTTTAATTTAATGATAATTTATGCGTTTTCGGTTTAGCAACGAACATTGATTTCCATTAAGTTTAAATTTCGAGATTTGTGTAATAGATAAAACATTGATTTCCGTTAGATAAGTTTAAATTTCGAGATTTGTATGATTGGTAGATTAAGTCCCACTAATTTAACCGCAATCGAATTTTGCTTGTGCAGGCGCTTCCTTTATACCTTGATAAAATCTTTCACCCAGTTGTTGCTGTTGTGCTGTCTGTAACTTTTGTTCTGTTATTCGGAGAGGTACGGGCCTTTCCGGGTTGTTATTAATTATTGGACTGCAGATGGATAGAGTGTTTAGTGTTATATGGGACTGTGACTTATGCCTTTTCATGTTGGACTAGGTTATTCCACAATCTATATGCTCAAGATATGGACTTTCGGTTGGTGCCAATTTTGTTTGGCTTGTTCGCATTCTTATGGTCATCTGTTATCCGATTGCATACCCAATTGCAAAGGTATGTAATTATAGTTTGTACTGGATCGAATTTCATTTTGTTTTCAAGTTACTAACTTTTATAGTCATCTGCTTAATTAAATTACTTTTTGCGGTTATGCGACACAGTTAAGATATCACATCAACACTGAGAGGAGTTCTTATTAGGCAATGATGTTTTAATACCATACTCGTTATAATTTTCATATTTGGATCACAAAGTATGTTTCCTGTGTTAGTAAAAACATAGTATGGACGGAAGTTCAATATGTTTCAGATTCGAATATTGATATTATAGCTTTTATGTGTGATCCATTGTTTCAGGTTCTTGATAAAGTACTTGGACATAGTGATGATTTGTTTAGGCGAGCTCAGTTGAAGGCCCTCGTCTCTATTCATGGCCAAGAGGTAAGCTGTTTAGGTTGTAAGTGCGTACGACATCGCTTGCATTTGTCCACAGTTTGTTCCTGGCTACTAGCTGCTGAATTTCCACAACAGTTACAGTTTTCCGGATTCAAATTGTTTTCTGTTTTTCTTGACTTGTTATTTCTATCCATTTTAGGCTGGTAAGGGAGGTGAACTCACGCATGATGAGACAACGATCATCAGCGGAGCCCTGGATTTAACTGAAAAGGTACCCAATGCCTTCAGATGTATTTAAGCTTTGATTTGTCATTGTACCATATGACATGGAAAATTTATGGGACGTTGCAGAGCAATTTGAGGGAAGATAATTTGACTGTATACGGCATTTCCAATCTTTTATAGTGTTATTTCATGTACATGTTCCTGAGTTCTCTATTATTTACCAATTTTCTCGCTTTCTGTGTGCATTTTTTATCTTGTTGCTGTATTTCTGATACTTGTTCCCAAACTATTTTGATGCTTCCTGGTTGTTTTATTTTTAGTTACAATTTTCAGGCTTCTGCATGCCTTTTAAGTAATTGAGATAGCACCAAAAACCACGTCTGCGTGTTGCATTTTCTCCAATCTGCAAAGGATTCATAATACTAAAGTTTCTTTTGTTGTCCAGACCGCAGAGGAAGCTATGACACCTATTGAATCAACATTTTCCTTGGATGTTAATTCAAACTTTGACTGGTGTGTTTGCCTTCAGACTCTTCTACATATTCTTTATATTCTTTATTTGGTGCATTTTTTTGTGACATTGAAATTGCAGTGACATCTCTTGATCGTACTTTTTTTTCTTCTTCTTGTATTTCTGCTATTTTGGGCTATTTTGGGCTGAATAGAGTAGAAACTAGGTATTGAGAAGGAATTGTGAGGATCATCTGGTAGTAATAGAGATGGGGCTTGGTCGTCTTTGTGTTTTTTGTTGTAGAGGGAAAGATTCATTTTTAAACTGATGTCTGTCTCCTAATGCAGGGAAGCAATTGGGAAAATTCTTGCACGAGGCCATAGTCGAGTCCCTGTCTATTATGAAAATCCGAAAAACATTATCGGCCTCCTTCTGGTGAGTGTGAAAACTTCTGCCTGTTGATTCCTACCATTGATGACAGCTAATTGTAGAATTGGTATGTCACAGCTGATTGTAGGACTCGCAAGTCATTTGTAGACTTATTTATTTATTTATTCTGTAATGGACTTAGGTGAAAAGTCTTCTCACAGTACGAGCTGAAGCAGAGATTCCAGTCAGTGCCGTTTCAATTCGAAGAATGCCTAGGTTTGTCATTTTCTTTCTCCATATTATCTTTTATGCATATTGTACGTCTGTTGTATGTGGGAAGACTTTAAATACGTATGCATGGATATCCCAGGGTTCCTGCAGATATGCCGCTGTATGATATACTTAATGAGTTTCAAAAAGGAAGCAGTCACCTGGCAGCTGTAGTGAAGAGCAAAGGAAAGAGCAACCTTCTGGCAATTCCTGACATAGAGAATTTCGAGGATAAACTGGCAAAGTTAAAATCTCAACCAGCTGCCTCCTTGCCAACCAAGCAAGATGAAAAATCAGGGAGTGTTTCTCTTGACATAGATAAAGCTCCAAGGTCTCTGACAAACAAGCCAACCATTCAGCCAAATGGTACAATTCCAAATTCATCAGAGGACATTGAAGCCGGGGAGGTCATAGGAATCATCACCCTGGAGGATGTTTTTGAAGAACTTCTGCAAGTATGCTCTGCTTCTATCCAATCTCCTACCTTAATTTAATCTGTCAGTGGCTCAGTCAGTGTGATATTATGTGTTCTGCTACGAGTATTCCCATTCTATTTCTTTTCATGTGCCCACTGTTTTATGACGATTTTCCTGGTCCCCTTTTCAACTCAGGAGGAAATTGTAGATGAGACAGATGTATATATCGATGTACATAGGAGGTATGATGGGATCTGAACTCTATCTCTCTCTCTCTCTCACACACTCTCTCTCTCTCATGGTCAAGTTCCTTGATTAAATTGGAATGTGTGATTTGTATAGGATACGTGTGGCTGCTGCAGCAGCTGCTTCATCCATGGCACGAGCTCCATCAACTCGGAAGTTGCTTGTAGTAAGTTAACATCATTTACTTGTCAGTCTTTTGCTAAGTCATTTGAACATGAATTCATAAGCCAATATATCTGAAAAAGCACAAGTTTTCCAGTAACCGAAGCTTTCACCAAATCTGTGATTTTCAAACTTGTATCTTGCTGCAGGTCAACAGAATTTATCTAAAAGTATCCACAAAAGTCCTTGTTCTCTTGATGTGCATTCCTCATGCTTTAAAATATGTTTGTGACTCAGAAGGAGTAATTCACACAAAAGTTTTGAAGAGTATAGTAACTATATACAGTTGAATGATATAAGAAGGAAATCATACAGTAACTTTATACCCAGTAGCCAAAAGCAGCTGAAATATCAAACTTTTGTGCTTCTTTCCCGAATGAGTATTTTGGATTGAATAACAAGATGTGTGTCATTTGTATGTCTGTTCTGAAGATAGAAGTTGTTTTGTCTAATTATATACTTGTTATCCTTCAGGGAGCTCTAAGCAAGCATGCGCAAACCCCAAAGAAGTCTGCCGAAGATGATGGGCATTCGACGAGGTTTTCAGGGTCTCCACGAGAGCCTCTTCTAGGCAGTAGGAGATGACAGACTTCACAGTAGCTCCAGACTTCCGGTTGGAAAAATTGGGTACGAAGTTGCGGCCAGCAGCTCTGAGTCCTTTGTTACTTGTCATGCCACGAAGTTGCGATCAGCCGCGTGCGAATATTACAGTTTTATCTATAAGCTAGGTTTGTAGATTATAGTGCGTGCCTGTAATTTCTGTCCAAGTTTTGGGAGTCTGTCCATTTCTAGGGCTAGAAAACTAGATGTGTCCTACTACTACATTAAACCTATTTGGGTTCCAAAAAATCATGAGGATTTAGATTGAATAATGATGGTCGGAAATTGAGAGAAGTGTGTGAGAGGTAAAAAAGAGTGTGTGGGTAACATAACCCTAAATATTCTATGTTCATTTTCCCCACAAACTCTCAAGAGTTGTCTTTTTACGTTTGATTATTTGGAGGCTCTTGCATTTTATTGAAAGGAAAAAAAAAAAAAAAAAAAAAAAACATATTGGTTTCTGACAAACGCGATATTCTGTACTACAAAACTTTTGACATATCATTCATATTATCGGTATTGTTAACTTCAAATATTGTTCGTCGAAATTGTGTCAATATGCTTGTTGGTGAAGTCCAAGTGGAAAGTAACTGATGATGTGGCATTATCTTGTTGGCTACAACCCAAGTCTTTTTCATTTTTTTAAACTTGCCTACACTTTCAAAACACCATCGTGACATCTAAACTAATAATACAGTTACATTTACAAAACACTGTAATATCTAAACTAATAATACAATTACATTTACGTAAATATATACACAAGACATCACATCATTAGTTTAAGATGTTGCGATAGTGCACTGTGTAGCTAACTCCCTCTCTCTCTCTCCATTTTCAGACGTTGATTGGGGGCCAGGTTCCAGGGTGCCAAACAAGTCGGCAAGTAAACTGGAAAAGCAGGGGAAACTGCCCAAGTTCCACGTCAGCTAACCATTCCCGGGCCCATCACAACGAGTAAAAACTCGTGTACCAAGATTACCCCTGGCTAGGATAGCGGCCCAACAGTTAAAAAAAAAAAAAAAACAAAAAATCTAAAATTGACGAAATCACCCTCGCACACCAGCCCAATTAACGAGTGTACCCGTTTCCTTGGCTGCATACGCATGGGTCAAGTCAACTCGGCCGAGTCCGGCCCATCCCAGGCTAAACCGAGTTATTATTTCCTGAGAATCGAACACTAACAACTAACAACTAACAACTAAAAACCACAAACCTTTTTCTCCCTCTCCTTCCGCCTTTTCCCTCTCAACTTTCCCTTCTCCCCTGCCTGAACGATCAGTCTTTTCATCTTCCTCTTCTTATTTTTTCTGTTTGGCTGCCGAGAAAAGGACGAGAAACGCCGAGAAAGTGTTCAATTTCGCAAATTTCGATCTTCTGAATTGTATGACAAAAATTATCTTTCGTTTTTAGTTTTTGTTATTGTTTTTGTTTTTCTAATTTTCTCGGCAGCCAAACGGAGCGATTGTGATTTTTAATTTCATCGCTTGTGTGTTTTTTGCATTGTGATTGATTTTGTATCATTGACTCTGAATTTCTCTGAGTTTTGGATGAAAATTCTGATTTTTTGAGTTTAATCCCGCAGATTATTGGGTTTCGATTGTGATTGATTTTGTATCATTGGCTCTGAATTTCTCTGAGTTTTGGATGAAAATTCTGATTTTTTAAGTTTAATCCCGCAGATTATTGGGTTTCGAAAGTGAAGAAAAAAAAAAAAATCTTGGATCTTGACCTAATTCTTGTTTAGAATTTTTGTAAGATAAATATATTTGCAGCTTTGGGGCTGTCAAGTGGATGAATTTTGTTGTAATTTTGTATTGTGTTTAAATATGCAGAATCGTAGCTCTTGGAGATGGGTTTCAATGCGGTTTTTGGCTGCTTAAAGGAAGTTTTTCCACAGGTATGATTCTTTGCCCCAAAATGTATTTTGGGATTGAATTATAAATTGTTATGTTGTGTAATTATGTTTTCCATTTAAATATTTCGGCTTTATAAATTTTCGTATGTATAAATCTTGTCAAACTTGCATGGTATTAAGCTTCACAATTCGGAAAATGATTTCAGGAATTTAATCTGAATAATTGGGTGGAACACCTATTCTGATTTTTTCGCCTTTGTATCTTTGTTAAGTTTATATTGTTCCAAATGATTTTGAGACTTATAGTTTGATTTTATGGAATATACATCAATTGTGTTGCCTAAGATCATAGGTGAAAAAATATCTTTCTTTGATTTTTTTGTTCAGGTAAAAGCTGTAACTTAAGTGATTCTGTATGTTCTAGGATGCTTGGGTTGTCTATTTGGTTAAAATGTTTACTTTTGACTCTAACTGACCGTCCATATTATTTCTTCTGATTCGGCTCAGGTTGATTTTCGTATTCTGAGGGCTATTGCTATTGAACATCCCTTCGATGCCGATGCAGCTGTCCTTGATGTTCTTAGTGAGTTCCCTAACTTGGCTACACAGTCGTTTTTGGCTGTCAGTCCTGTGCAGGTTCAGAGTCCTGGGACTCCACTGCTCCGAGCAGGTATTCTGTAGCTTCTCAAGAGAGCCTTCTTTCGTTCCTGGATTTGTTCTGTTATTGATGCCACATTCTTTTCCTCTTTCATGTCATTCCATAATTATTGATAATTACTTGCAACACAAAAGTGTTCCATTTTTTCTTTTAAATTGGTATTTCATCTAAGGTATTTATTTGTATGTTGCATGCTGAACTTGCAGCTCAACAGAAGGGGAAGGGTAAACTATTGATGCACCAGCAGGTAATTAAGGAATCAGGGGTTCCCGAACCTGGACCAGCAGCTGGTGATGATCATACAAGTGGTGCCTCTCATGGCAACCCCACGCTGGTGAAGCAAGTGGACTCATTGCAGAATGGTCCTGTTCCATCAGATGCTGATACAAGTACCAGAAGTGAAGCAGTGATTTCTGATGTAAAGGGTATGAATTTTGATGTCCAAGTTGGCCTGCAGCAGTCTGCATCTGGCATGACGAGTCCTTCAATGCCTGAAAAAGATTCAGTAAACGGCACCTTGGGTGATGTGATGTGCTTCTTAAGTGGAAAAGTTTTTATTTCCCTGTGAATTGTGATTCCAATTCGGTGCTCCATGAAACACATGATAAAGTAGAATCATTTGCGGTTGATTCTTCTTTCATAGAACATGCACCCAATGCTCCACAGTGTGACATTCCTCCAGAGTTTAGTTCAGGCCCTCTTTTTGCTGATGACAACTTACAGGCAACTGGTCCTTCGGATCATACTTCCAAGAAAGACTGTTCTCCAAGGGAAATGGTTGATAATGATAATGAGGAGACCGCCACAAACAGTGTATGCAATATTGATGTTCTGGAAGAGATCATTGAAGATGCTAAACATAACAAGGTACTAATGGGTTTATGACTTGGTAGATTTAGGGTTGCAATTCAGAAGTTGATTCTCTTGCTATAAACATAAAACTTAACTGTTGGTTTGTTCAATTCTCTCAGACTCTAAATAAACCTGGCCCTATTTGGTCAGAGTAGTTATATAATCTTAATCTTTTCTGTGTGATGATGTTCTGTATTTTGTTGGGTTCTTTTAAGCGTCTTTTAATTCCTCTGTGTGATACAAGTACTATCTGATTTCGGGTTAGGATCCAATGATAACATGTTCATGGATTTGGACTTTTGGTTTAGGATCCAATGACAAGTGGTGCCTATCATGACAACCCCACGCTGGTGAAGCAAGTGGACTCATTGCAGAATGGTCCTGTTCCATCAGATGCTGATACAAGTACTGGAAGTGAAGCAGTGATTTCCGATGTCAAGGGTATGAATTTTGATGTCCAAGTTGGGCTGCAGCAGTCTGCATCTGGCATGACTAGTCTTTCAATGCCTGAAAAAGATGCAGTAAACGGCACCTTGGGTGATGTGCTTCCTAAGTGGAAGAGTTTTTATTTCCCTGTGAACTGTGATTCCAATTCGGTTCTTCATGAAACACGTGATAAAGTAGAATCATTTGCAGTTGATTCTTCCTTCCCAGAACATGTACCCAATGCTCCACAGTGTGACATTCCTCCAGAGTTTCGTTCAGGCCCTCTTCTTGCTGATGACAACTTACAGGCAACTGGTCCTTCGGATCATACTTCCGAGAAAGACTGTACTCCAAGGGAAATGGTTGATAATGACATTGAGGAGACTGCCACAAACAGCGTATGCAATATTGATGTTCTGGAAGAGATCATTGAAGATGCTAAACATAACAAGGTACTAATGGGTTTATGACTTGGTAGATTTAGGGTTGCAATTCAGAAGTTGATTCGCTTGCTATAAACTTAAAACTTAACTGTTGGTTTGTTCAATTCTCTCAGACTCTAAATAAACCTGGCCCTATTTGGTCAGAGTAGTTATATAATCTTAATCTTTTCTATGTGATGATGTTCTGTATTTCGTTGGGTTTTTTTAAGCGTCTTTTAATTCCTCTGTTTGATACAAGTACTATCTGATTTCGGGTTAGGATCCAAGGATAACGTGTTCATGGATTTGGACTTTTGGTTTATGTGCTTCATTTCGGTTTTTTTACCGATAATATGTATTATCTTGGGATAATAAATCTTGTTTTGATATTTGAAAGCGTATTCTTAATGTTTTGTTTGTGTTATTTTGCTGACCCACCATTGTCATGGAGTTAGTTTTCGGCGGCACCATTTTTTCTCTCCTCCTTGATGATAGAGTTCCTAATCGTTTAACAATGTTGCAGAAAACCCTGTTTTCAGCCATGGAATCGGTCATCAGCATGATGAGAGAAGTGGAGGTCCAGGAGAAAGCAGTGGATATTGTTCAAGAGGAAGCTTCTAGGGGAGGTTTGGATATCATGGTCAAGGTGGAGGACCTTAAACAGATGTTGGCACATGCAAAAGACGCAAATGACATGGTTGTATTTTGTGAAATGAGATTAAAGTTTGAAGTTAATGGATTCTGAGTTCTGCTAATTTTAATTAAGGGTGCATCATAACTGAGGTTATATTCTTTCTGTGCAGCATGCTGGAGAAGTCTTTGGGGAGAAAGCAATTTTAGCAACTGAAGCGAGGGAGCTTCAGTCTCGATTGCTCAATTTATCAGATGAGAGAGATAAATCACTTGCGATTCTTAATGAGGTTGACTTCACTTCATTGAGTTGCTTATTGCACTGCATTACTGTTGGTGCATGCTCTATTTCACTAATTTATCCATTTATATTTAGTTTGCCTGATTTTTATGCTGTCTTTTTCATATCGTATTCTTCAAAAACAACAATTGTATGATCTGTTTCATTATATTTATTTATCAAACAATATCATCACAAAAGATGTTAAGTATTTGCACAGTAAAGATATTGGAAAATCTTATTTGTGACTACTTGCAACAATTATATTTGTCTTCGATTGATATGGGGCAGTTGATACAAACACAATCCTTTTTCTTAGTTCATTATTTGTTTTGTCATTGCAGATGTGTGGAACCCTTGAGGAACGGCTAGATGCGGCAGCGGAGGCAAGGAGACTGGCCGAGCAGGACAAGCTAGAAAAGGAAGAATGTGCCTGGAAAGCTCTTGCTGAACAAGAAGCGGAGGTGGAGAAAGTTGTTCAGGAGTCCAAAATATTGCAACAACAGGCGGAGGAAAATTCGAAGGTAACAACTATTTCCAGTGGTGACCATGGACATATTAAAGTAAGATAACCGATAATATAATTACTCAAATTTTGCTTTTTGCAGTTACGGGAGTTTCTGATGGATCGTGGCCGCATTGTTGATATGCTACAGTAAGTGATTTTGTCTCCATTGCTTTAATATTATAAACTCTAAAGTTTGGTTTATAGTTTAGACCATCGAGGTCTTTATGGTACCTATCTAAAGTGGCTGACGCCAAGCAACTTGCAAGTATAGTACATATTGCTCTTGATTTCGGAGAACTCCATTACCAATTTTTCATCTTCTCCTGCTTTATATTAGACTTGATATATGTGTATGAGGAACTTTAGCTACGTTGAGACCGTTTTTGCAGTTAACCTTAGATATAGTAAAGTTACCCTTTTAATTTCATCTCGTCTCCTCCATCAATTTTTAAATCATCCACATCTAAATGAATTAGGTTACTTTTTAAGCATTATCAATATAATCTCATCTACTAGTTGTCTGTTATGTCACAATCTAGTCCGATACCTCAAATTCTTCGCTGTCTGGTAATATTTTGTTGTTCTATTACAATTTATTTCTTCCTCGAGATTTTTGTTTCTGTTCAATGCTTTTATTTGCGGCATGCATTTTTATGTGTTTGAGGAGACGATAATAGTCTTCCCATACATGTGCAGAGGAGAAATTTCTGTTATTTGTCAGGATGTCAGGCTTCTGAAAGAGAAGTTTGATGAGCGGGTTCCGCTAAGCGAGTCAGTATCCTCGAGCCAGACGAGCTGTATCCTAGCTTCTTCAGGCTCATCCATGAAAAGCGTGGCATTCGATTTAGTTCCAGAACGACTTGAGTTACCAAAGTCGCCAGAGAAGGCAAGCCCCGCTCCTTCAGTTGACGGCCTATCACCAAAAAGCATACTCGAACAGGAAAGAACCAAGGCCGATCAAAAGGACCTTATCGATGACGGATGGGATGTCGTCTTCGACAAAGAATTGGACGTCTAAACCTTCTACTGCATATCATATGCTGTGAATATGAACAGGATCAACTTCGAAGACGGATGCAATTTTTGTTTCAAATCAAGGAGGATTTATATATTTTGATATAGCCTGCAAGTATTTCTATGATTTTGTATAGTGGAGATTCAAAACAATCATAATTTAGACTTGCTGCGTTTTGAATATTATGTACACTTACATTTTGTTGTATCATATTATATATATTCCTGACAGTGAAATGTTCCTGGGCCTGTTGACGGCCAATACTGGAACGATTTTATCCTTAAAAGTGAAATCATGTGCTGGTCACGTGTTAATATTTGACGACAAAGTAAATAAAATTTCATCACATTTGATGGTGAGGCGGTAAGCGGCTATTTTCAAATGGTTCAAGGGGTAAGTTAAGCAAAAAAATAGTTCAAAGGCTAAGTTATCAAAAAATAGTTCAAGGGTTAATTAAGTGGACTATTAGTTCAGGCAGTCAAAACGGCATATTATTCTAGATAAAATGTTATAGGCCCCATGTGGAAATGGTGAGTCACACAAGTATTTTTTGCTTAATTTTTAAGAGTATTTATTAAATATAGCTAGAATTTGACCTTTAATTTCAAAAATGTCAGTTTTTATATAAAAAAAAAAAATCATATATAGCCAAAAATGAACTTCAAAAGACGCATATGAGCTTCTGGGAATTTTTCTCTCCATACCTAGTAATTGTTCGATTCACATATACAGATGGGATTTCTTCTACTCTTTTTTTTTTTTTTTTTAGGGGTTTTGATTATTTCCATATATTCCAATCCAATAAGTGGAAAAAAACAAAAAGAGAATGAGCAATCAACTTGTCTAATTCATTTATTAATTGACAAACACCTACAACTATATATTTTTGCATGATAATCATTTGATATTTTTTCTGTAAATTTCATAGACCTAGAACTTCTGCAGATTTTCAAAATAGAATTTTTCATGTCTTCGTTTAGATGGAAATCTCTAGTATACGGTTCCACGGTATTATGCATATATATAATATTAATTTGAGGAACACATTTTTGTATCGATCTAATTGTTGTTTCGATTGCTCCCCATATATTCTAATATATCAATTCTATTTCAATTTTTATACTTATAATGCATTTTGATTTCACAATGGTGCAGCCGACATACATTCATGGTGTTCATCTTGTTCGACAAGGCCTTCAATATCCCCGTTTGCCACTTCCCTCCTCATGAACAAAGATGAATACAATTTAAAAGACTATTGGCTTTTAGTTGTAATTAGGTTTTAATTTTGAGGGCAAATGGGTATATTTAAGTAGAATTTTGGATATATCTAAAATCATTTATAAAAACTGATATTTATAAATTTAAAGACTAAATTTTGATTATTAATTATAAAAACTCAAATTTTAAGTTGTGCTAGAATTGAGTACTATTGTTGATGCGTACATATCCAAAATTGATTGTATGAATTTTAAGAAGCTTATAGTGCGACACGAAAGTGACATGAAAAAATCCGTCCAGTTCCATTGACTAATCTTGTCATTGTGATTTTGGCGAACTCAATTCAGCCAAACAGTGCATGATGATTGTGTGCTGGTGGAGAAAATTTTAAGTGTACTTGAGACATGGATGTGTGATAAAAATATGGGATCCTTGAATAAAAAAAACTCGCCTCCACTTATCTTATGACACGTGATGTACAGAAATATATTTTTGGAACACTATTGGTGGTTCAAAAATATGAGAGCTAGAAATTAAAATGTCCAGAGGGTTATATACTAATGAATGTACATCCGATTAATCTTAAGAAAAAGTGAAAGTCAAATGGCTTTTTGGGATAAGCAAATCATTTTCTTACACATTCAGCAATTAGAAACATTGCCATATTGGTCAGTTTTGACTCCAGTCAATGGTAGCAAAGTTTAACATTTCGATTTGGGCACGTAAATAATAAATGGTCCAACGGTTTCATTCTTTGAAAAGTTTAAGGTTGAATTCAGATGAACGACTAGTTTGATACTAAATATATTTTTTCTGAGAAAAAAATTTCGGGCATCATGACTTATGCTTTTTGTGACACTCTTGAATTTGGACCCAAATATTTGTGCTAGTCGTGGAAATTAAAGTAGAACATTTGTTTGTCTCTCAATCCTTACATATAAATGATTCGAATTTAGATTCGAATCTCATGAATATTGAGATCGGAATCAATTTACTCTATCACCATTATAGTGTAAATATATTTTTGTATCAAAAAGATAAAGAGCCAAGTATTTTTCACGCAAATATATAGAATGATCATTACTATCAACAAGCTACGAAAATAAGAGTACATTAAATTATCATATATTTACAATGTCATATATAAGAGATTTTTCAGTATGTTTGAAACACGAAGTGGTACAACACATTTCATTATATAAGTAGAAAGACACTTGAAAAATAAAACTTTTCTCCATTTATATAATGACATATAATGTACCATCCTGTATTCCGAGCATCCTAAAAATTTCTGTTCACAAGACATTTGGAGCTTTAATTGTTTACATACTAATTAAATCTACCATCTATCCAAAAAGTGGTATCCTTTGCCTAATTATTATACTGAGAAAAGCACAATACCCGTATGGTTAATTAGTCACCCGAATACTGATTAATCTCAAACTTGACCAACCAGTGCTAATTATGATTATAATTAACCTCTTAATTACTCATGCCAGCATAAGAGCATCACACTACATCTCCATATGATGTAAAGCCGCGCCCGCTGCTCTCGTATCTGCTTCGAACACCGTCCCCATGGCCGAACCTTCGAACTAGAACTCCTCGACGTCCTTGTTGGAATCGCTTTGGCTTCCATGTCCATGCAGAAAACAAGGAATATTTGAATAGTTATCAACTAAATTCTTAAAGCTGTTGAGACTGAGAGAGTGGGAGTGATTGAAATTGGAAGAGACTTTGAAGAAGTTTGGAAGACTTGTGATGGTAGCGGGTTTTAACTTGGTGGTGGTTTTCAGGGACAAAGGGGGTTTAAATAGAGAAAATGGAGAGGTGGAGGGAGGAGGAAGAAGAAGATATGAGAGCAAGAGGGGAACAAAAATATGTGGTGGTGGTTGACAAATGTTGGCCCCTGGTTGGGCCAACGAGACAGGGGTGGGGCCCTCCGATTAGCTTGTCTGCTCGTTGCTTACACCCTCAAAAGGGACCTCTTATCGGCTCTTCCTTCCATTGGAGGGGTCATCCGACTCATCCCGTCTCCGTCTGACCTTAATAAACCAACCAGCATGCATGCCTGTTCTTTTCAATGACCCAAGAGAATTATCAGAATCGTGATTAAGATAATTAAAATATTAGAGAAAATTAATACAAAATTGAAAACACAAAGAAAGAGATTTGATTTGGGATTATATTGTTTTAAGACTATTAATTGTTTGTTATACCCGAAGATAATACACAAATAATAGTCGAGGGGGCATACTCGACCTTAAACTTCTATTCATCTCTCGTTTCTTCTGTAAACAAATTGAAGAACATAATGGATCGAATAAATGGAAAAATCTAATGTGCTATGTAGCTGAGGTTTACTGTAAATTACGGTTCTGATTGTTAAGGCTAAATATAGATTTCTATAGTTTTATAGTGTAAAAGTCAACTAATAGAGAATTAGATATAAACATCTAAAGTCCAATCAAGCTTAAAGCCTTGTCATGTTTGCTCTTCGTATCAATATTTTTTACAATTGATCTATTTATGTGTTCTCATATTTTATTACCTGAGCACTATAATTCTTTTACAATTAATATTATATGGTTTTCTTCAAGAAAAATTAGCAAAGGATGTGGCATTTATTATTTTACAACTAATAGTGCAAATAGACATTTATTATAAAAAAAGATTGTACACGTATTATACCTTGGTTAGTGGCATAAGAACTAATTAATCTATATATTAGTTATCATTACTTGATCATATCACAATAATAATTCAGTTTTTTAGTCGAAACGACAATATTTTTATTCATATGGAGATTTAAATGTCAAGGTAAGATGTTTAACATATTGTGAAAAGCTTGTTTTCTTAAATGCTTACGTATTGGTAAATAGACTTCACATACTTAATACACGGTACCATATATATGCATTTTCAATTATAATTTATCTTAATACATCCCACATTTTTTCCCATAGTACACTCGCACTCCACACTTTCAACATACATCCCACATTTTGTCCATACACTCCACACTCTTCACGTCTTAGATAAAAATTCTCCATTTGTTTTTGTACCAAAATGCATACAAGTGTCAATCTACGCAGCCACAAATTTTTCTTTGAGCTCATTCAATCATGTAGTTTTCAAGAATATCTTCATCAAACGAACTAAATTTGGATTCAAAGGCATCCAATTATTTAGTTCTCCTCTTTTCTGTTGATGAACTTACAAAGGTTTGCCAATCTTTAAGTACTCCTCCGCACTAGAAGTGCCAACACAATAGCCGGAGTTCTGTGATCAGATATGGGCTAGGGCTTATTAACTGTGTGATACTCATCATCAACCATGCTTTTTACAAGGGATATCATTCGTAGTGCAACTACAAGAATGCCGATGTTATTGAAATCACTAAAATAATGAAAAACATGATGTCTCACCTCATGCAAAACTTTCAAAATGTAGTTTCATGTTCCATTCGTCAAAAATATATATTTTTTTTCAACAACATGTTTGTAGTTTCATTGGTTAGGGTTTTGTTCTACAATGGAGGGTGAGAGTGGTTTTGGGAGTTAAAGAAGATAAATAATCTTGGGATATGGATACTAAAAGTGATGTGGGGTGTATTTTTTGATTATTTTTTTTTTAAACCTTACGATGTCGAAATTGTCATTATATATTAGAATATATAAGTTATTTAATATTAATTTAATATGAAGAGTATTCAACATTACGTGGAGTAAATAAAAAAAGTATGTTCAAATTATAAAGTTTAAGGAAGTTTTTGTACGTTCGAATAATTCAAATTCCTTAGTTATGCTTTCTTTTTCTTTCTTTTTTTTACGACAATAAATCCCACTGTAACTCCACACTCTCAAATAACTCTTAAGGTTCATTTGAATGTATACTTTCAAAACTGACAACACTTTTGGTGATAATACTTTTGGAACACAAATAAGTTCTCTCTAAAAGTGCTATCAGCCATAAAATCACTTCCAAACTAATGTTAGCTTTGAACACG